AATAATAATAATAATAATAATAATAATAATAATTTTATTTGTATCCTGCCCCTCTGTCAAACAATCAGGGTGGCTTACAGCAGTTAAACTTCCATACAATATATTAAAATACAGTCTAAAAAAATCCCAGAACCCTCCCATCCCTTAAAAAGTATCAAACCAGTATTACCATTAAAACATGTAAATTAAACATTAAAATGAACAAAACCCCTTGGACTATAGTTTTTTGTGGGTTTTTCGGGCTGTGTGGCCATGTTCTAGAAGAGTTTCTTTCTGACGTTTCGCCAGCATCTATGGCTGGCATCTTCAGAGAAAAAGATGCCAGCCATAGATGCTGGCGAAACGTCAGAAAGAAACCCTTCTAGAACATGGCCACACAGCCCGAAAAACCCACAAAAAACTATGGATGCTGGCCATGAAAGCCTACGACTTCACCCCTTGGACTAGTTAGTCTAAGTCCAAGTATGAAACTAACTTAATTCTCTATTTCATCTGTCTTTTCCCACTCTTGCTTTTTCTTTATAGTTATTTTCAAGCTTTGGTCTCCCCTACACCTGATGATTTTTCTCTTCAACACCCAGAATCTGCAGCCAGCATGGCCTAGGACTGATGCTGCCGGTGGCATAACATCTCAATCTCTCTGAGCAATGCATCTCAGACTTCAGAACAGCGATCCTTGAACAAAAGGAACCACAAAGGAAGATTGGAAAGAGAAACAGCAGAATTGGAATTGATCCACAGACTACAGTCCATCAACAGTGGATTGAACAAAGATAATGGTTTCCTGGCACACCACACACATTTCAACGCTATCTCTCCCCCCAGTTTTATTCGTAACAATTTTTAGAACAATAAAACATAGCATATGTTACTGTTTACAACTGTTCTGTTATATGAATATACACAGCTCTTTGTACTTCTTCTTTGTTATTTTAGTCCTTTCACCAAAATTTTAGCTCATGCTGATCTTTACCCCATTTAGAATGGGGACTGCAGCCAGGAAATCAGAAGAAGATTAAGAATGGGGAAGGCGGCTATAAAAGAACTAGAAAAGATCCTAAAATACAAAGATGTACAACTCAGCACAAAAGTCAGAATCATACAAGCCATTGCATTCCCTATTACCATGGATGGATGTGAGAGCTGGACAGTCAAGAAAGAGGATAGGAGGGAAATCAATGCATTTGAGAGAATGTGGGACTGGAGAAGATGCTGAGGATCCCATGGAGAGCCAAAAGGACAAACAAAGGGGTCCTAGAACAGATCAAGCCATAGATATTCCTAGAAGCAAGATGACAAGACTTAGACTGTCCTCCTTTGGACACATCATGAGAAGACATGAATTGTTGGAAAAGACAATAATGTTGGGAAAGGTGGAGGGAAGTAGAAAGAGAGGAAGGCCAGATGCCAGATGGATGGACTCTATTAAAGAGACCACAAATATGAGTTTGCAGGAGCTGGGCAGAGCAGTAAAGAACAGGGAGTCCTGGAGATCTCTCATCCAGAGGATCACCATGGTCAAGATCAATGCAAAGGCAGTTAACAACAACAAATATTCACTTAAGTCAATATTATCTGTCATGCTATTAAGAGTATCTTTAACTTCTAAAATAGTAAAAAGTGGGTCTGCTTTTCTTGAGTAGAGTTTCTGCAAATCTTGTCTCATTCAACCATTATCAATTGCCTTATGCCCATTAACATCAACAACATCATTTTCATTATCTTTGTCCAAATTATGAACTAAGAATGATGGCATGTCTATAAGTTTATAAGTCTGCTAATATCTGTAAGATATTCTTTCATTCTGAAACTGGTGTCTATACTCTGTACTTGCCCCTTTCATTGGGAGGCACTATATGATTATATTGTTTCACGTCTTCTTCCTGTACTCAACAACAGGTAACCATTCTTGTTTGACTTTATTAAAAGAACTGTTATTTAAGCGACACGTATTTCAACACTATCTAACCCTCATTCTCATGAGGGCTCCCTTGACCTATTCATCACATCACTCTCTGTTTCCCGCACTCATCCATTCTCCTCACCTTCAGCCTCCACTGCTTTTGTCCACCAACCAAAACTGGACTTGCCACTTCATTTCCATACACACAGGATTTTGAATTTGAACTGACATTCTCACACACCATTGGCATATATAGTTCTGTCCCTGGATTTCTGCTCCACCAAATGCATCTGAGGAAGTAGACTGAAGTCTAGGAAAGCTCATGCTGGCAACATCTTTCTTTCAGTGAGTCTCAAAGGTGCTGCAAGATCTCTCTACATACTGATTTTACAAACTAACATGGCTATATCTTTGATGCTGACACAGGTAGAATAATAGATTCTAAGAGTTGGAAGAGAATCCAAGGGCCATTTGGTCCAACCTCCTTTTGCCATGCAGGAAGACACTCTCAACAGACGGTCATCCAGCCTCTGTATAAAAACCTCCAAAGAAGAAGACTCCACCATTCTCTAAGGTAGAGTCTTCCACTGTTGAACAACTCTTACTATCAGGAAGTTCCTCCTAATGTTGAGGTGGAATCACTTTTCCTGTAGTTTGCCTCCATTGCTCCAGGTCCTATTCTCTGGAGCAGCAGAAAACAAGCTTGCTCCATCCTCAATATGACATCCCTTCAAAAAGGAGTATCATATCCCCTCTTAACCGTCTCCTCTCCAGGCTAAACATCCCCAGCTCCTTAAGCCACTCCTCATAGGGCTTGGTGCTTTGCAGACCCTTCACCATTTTGGTTGCCCTCCTCTGGACACGCTCCACCTTCTCAATATCCCTTTTGAATTGTGGTGTCCAGAACTGGACACAGTATTATTCCAGGTGAGGCCTGATCAAAATAGCTCCCTAGGTATGTATGCAGTCCAAGTTAGATAGTCTATCAATGGAAGATAAAGGGAGAAAGAGGGAGATTAACTATGTGGTTCTTGTTCTTATTTGCCTTCAAGTTGACTCTGACCTACAGAGACTGTGTCCTAAAGTTTTCTTGGCAAGATTTATTTGGAAGGGATTTGCCATTGCCTTCTTCTCAGGCTGAGAGTGT